GATTAGGCCCTGATGCTCTTAATGCTGGAGCTTGGAATGTGGGAAAATCAAAGGGAAAGAAAAAGAAAGATGATGAAGATGAAATGACAGGGTGTTGGATGAAGTTTAGGCTCATGGGAGGATGCATGTCTTCAAGGACCAAAGTGGATAGCTCTACAAGTGGAACTAGCACACAAGATGGTATAATTTATTTTCCTTAAAGTTTTGTTTCATTTCTCTATGTTTTCCTAATACCCTTTCTCAATTTTTATGGTCTTATTTGTGGATTGGATTTTGATTGATTCCTTGGCAATGCCATGGTGTGATTATTATATAGCATGTCGGAGCGCCATGCGTATAGATGTTTATAGAAAAATTTGATTCATTCATTGGTTGGAAAGCATGTCATCTTATGCATATTTAGCTCATCAATCCTCATTTTGTTCTTCATTTAATACTGTGGTCATATAAATCTGTTATCCTGTGATCATATCTGTTTTTGCACTGTTTCTGGGTCTTGGTTTTATCCAGTGATAAGGTCCCATTAGTTGCTAGTTTTTTCATTTCTTACTTAATCAAGAATGGCCAGGAACTTTCAAAAGTTCAACCATGAGGTGTTCTTCACATTTTAAATTAGAATTGCAAAGAATATCACAACTTGCATAGATATTTCCAGCATGCTGAATTTTGACTTTTAGCATCGACTTTGATTCGTGTTTGCTGAATGCTTCCCAAAATAAGGATACAGAGCTAGTGGTTTTGGATAGATGCTTTGCACGTGTTTGTTTGACCATGCACTATATGAAAACAGCTAGTTTATTCTTTGACTCATGTTTGCTGGATGCTCCCTATAGTATGGATACACAGCTAGTTCCCTTTTGTCATTTTCGATAAATGCTTTGCACGTGTTAGTTTAGCTATGTGCTATATGAAATGATTACGATTCCAGTTTTTGTGGAGGATTCATTAAGAGCTGTTTTGACAATTAATGCATCTTATGTGATGAGATGTGTTTCTGTATGCATATTTAGTAACGGAAAATGTTAGTCTCAATTGTTCTCCACGTGCACATGGGCAACTGACTGAAGCAAAACTCTTTCATAAAAGTAACATAGGTGGGAGCCTGTGTTACCTGTGTTCTGTAAAGTGATTAGCATGCTTTTCTTTAGCAGAGAGTGCTCTCATCATGGGTCACCTACTTATTCAAATAGCAGTTTAAATTTTTTTACAATCTTCTAGATGTCAATCTGCACAAAATTTCAGTATATACACAAAGTATGCTCCCCATAATGAGAAATAAGGATTAGACAAGGAAAACATTTAACAAGATACTCACATTGGCAGACCATTATCCGTCAACGAATTTTGCTGCATTAAATACCATATCAATGCTTTATAAATATGTAGATATATATCCTGATGTTCATCATATGGGAAGAGAATTATTTGTAATTCCCAGTCGTGCCACATTTAGGATATGTCACTTCTCTTTATAGTGCTAAGCTGGTTTTCTTAAATTGTATCTGATGATTTAATGTGGTATCGTTTGTGAACCAGTGGAAAGTAAATGTACAAATGACTCCATCAAAGACCAGCCAGCTGCTCCAGTTGCTTTGTCTTCAACCACTAGCAACACAGAAAGCACCCTGTCCACTCCCAAGGCAGCTGAGGAGCTGAAAGTTGCTTCTCAGCTTCGAAAATTCACCTTTGATGAGCTTAAGTCAGTGACAAAGAATTTTAGACCTGTGAATCTTTTGGGCGAGGGTGGATTTGGTTGTGTCTTCAAAGGCTGGATCGACGAAAATGGAACTGCTCCAGTAAAACCTGGAACTGGGCTTGCGGTTGCGGTAAAGACTCTGAACCATGATGGACTTCAAGGTCATAAAGAATGGCTGGTATGGCGCGTCATTATCAGTTTTTTTTCTTCCCATTACCACTGATTAGGACTATGGGTATTTGTTTCTTCACTTCCATGAGTGAAGGATAATCTTTTGTCTTTTCCTTGTGGCAGGCTGAAGTTATTTATCTTGGTGACCTACTTCATCCTAATTTAGTCAAATTATATGGCTATTGCATTGAGGATGATCAAAGATTACTTGTGTATGAGTTTATGCCTCGGGGAAGCTTGGAGAATCACCTCTTTAGAAGTATGTACTCAAAACTATATGGCTATTGCATTTGGTCTTCCTTCTGGCATTTTATTTTAGTCATACATATTTTTGGAGGTACCATGAAATCTGAGTTTACTCTAAGAAAGTGGAGGTAACTATTTAAAGTCCTACTGTAGTTACTTCTCAAGCATTGGAATTGTTTTCTGTTTCTTTTGTTTTTGTTTAAACTTTCTTATCGGTCAGTGCACTTTATGTTATATACTGCTCCTCCTCTTCATGCTCTCCTTTTCTTTCTTCTGGTAATAAGCCATATATTTTCTTTTGGCCTGAAGAATTATGTTCACCTGTAATGCTTGCAAATGATATTTGAACTATTTTGACTCCTGCTGAATTTAGCCTAGGACAGCTTTTAATATGATGATGAAGGCTGTAAGAATAACGGTGGTTGTATTTTTTGGTGACTAAGTTTCCTATTAGTATTAGCGTTTAAGTGTGGATACGCATTTAGCATGTGTCCTAAATGTTATTTTGCTTATTATAACGTTCTCCAAAAGTGCTTCCCGTAGGAAAGGAAAGTTTTTATGTTTTAGATGCTATTTGTATGCAAAAAGTGATAAAACAATCTTAAATTTAAGTTTGGAGGTTGTATGACCATCTATTTTGATTTAATTAGTAAATAAAGATAGGGGTTAATACTTCCTAAAGTTGGATGTGTGCCACCATTAAATGTGGTGAGGTAGTAAGCCTGTTTGTCTCCTTCAATGCCTGGGTTCCACAACTGGACAAAATGCCATGAGATGTTTCCTAGAAAAACAAAACAAAAACCAAACAAAGAAAGTTGGATGTGTGCGAGAATCTGTGGTGCTGCCCATACTAGATGATTTTCTAGTTGATGATTCTATTATGCTTCAGTAATAGTTTTGTTGCCCATATCAGGGTCCTTGCCGCTTCCTTGGTCTATCCGAATGAAAATAGCTCTGGGTGCTGCAAAGGGTCTTGCCTTTCTTCACGAGGAAGCTGAAAGGCCAGTGATTTATCGAGATTTTAAAACATCTAATATATTGTTGGATGCGGTGCGTTACTAACTTCAGGTTCAAATGTCTTCATTTTGCCCTGATACCTATTTTTCTAATCAATAATTTACTCGTCCAGGATTACAATGCCAAGCTTTCTGATTTCGGCCTCGCTAAAGATGCTCCAGAGGGAGATAAAACTCATGTCTCCACCCGAGTGATGGGCACTTATGGTTATGCAGCCCCTGAGTATGTTATGACAGGTTGGTATCATAAACTGTATGTATCATATTTTTTTGCCTTACTGTCAACAGTTTTACTGCATCTTGTTATTACTCTCTGTTGCTTTCATATGGAATTCCTTGAACCCAAACCTGATAAATCTGGCACTTTTTCATAGGTACAAAGTATATAGGCAGTCTTAAACTTAAGATATGATTATGTCATCCTGGTAACTTTTTCTTAGTCTACCCTCCACCTTCACCTTTGCCCTCACCATTCTGTGCCCGACTGCCTGACTCTTCTAGTAACTGCACCCATCAACTTTATTAGATACCTGTTTTATAGACAATGAACTCTGCCTGACAATGAAGAATGACGAGGGAAATAATAACTTTACTACCATATGCATGCTACAATAAATATGACTGCTTCCAGCTGCTAGATTTTTGCTTATTGCAGCTATGGTTATTTTCTGATTTACTTTAATGTTCAAGATAGGAGAGCCTCCCATGTTAAATATACTCGCATCCGTATTATGTATTTTAACCTTAGCATAAAGTTACATTCCTCCAGGTCTCATTTGGTTGTCAACTTCACACGATATTATATGTATTAAGTTTGTATTGAAGTCTTAAATTATGCTTCAAGGGATTTTTGTAACTCATCCAAGTATAACGTGAGTTATCTTCTATCAGGACATCTTACTTCGAAAAGTGATGTATACAGCTTCGGGGTGGTTTTGCTCGAAATGCTGGTTGGTCGAAGATCAATGGACAAAAACCGACCCAATGGAGAGGTTAACTTGGTTGAGTGGGCACGCCCGCACCTTGGAGATAGACGAAGATTCTATCGACTAGTAGATCCTCGACTTGAAGGCCGCTTCTCGATCAAAGGTGCCCAGAAGGCACTTCAGTTGGCTGCCCGTTGTCTTAGTCGTGATCCCAAGGCTAGACCTCTGATGAGTGAAGTTGTTGAAGTGCTGAAGCCTCTACCCACCCTCAAGGATATGGCATCTTCCTCATCTTACTTCCAAGCCTTGCAAGTAGAGCGGCCTGGCTCCAATCCAAATTCTCGAAATGGCATTAGAGGGCAGGCTGGGGTTTCAAGGAATGGACAACCAACTAGAAGCCGGTCCATGCCAAATGGTCCGCATGCCTCACCATATCACCTTAACCATCCTCACCGATCACCCAAACCTATCGCTCAATCGTAAGATTGAGCTTCTGTTAGATTTCCATTTTGTTTAATTTTATCAGGCCTTATATTTTAAGGGATAGGAGAGATTGGGAAAAAAAAAAAAAAAAACCTCAGTGGTAGCATTGAGCCCAAGGCCATTGCGGTCTTCTTAGAGATTATAGAATTTTGCCATCAAGCTTAACTTGTGCGGCTGGGAGGAATATATATATATATTGAGCATAGAAAATTAGCAACGGAATATTATGCACCTTTCCATCAAATTGTGTTTTTAATTAGTCAAAGGAAAGAACCTTGTAGCTGCTGCTTGTATGCGAAGGTCAAAATGGTTTTATATGTTTGTCTTGTTACTTTGTTTTATCAACTATTTATATCTTTCTTTCTTTTTCCTTTTTTTTTTTCCGTGTTTTGGCATCTCAATAGGACGAGTTTGTGGGGAAAAACTTTCGATAGCATACCACTCTTTTTCTTGGTCAAATGCTAGGAAGAACCAAACCTTGCAGATAAAAGTTGGGCTGGAGTAGAAACAGGGCCACAATAGTATTACAAAAGCGACCTCAAGACTTTTTCTGGGTCAAATGCTAGGAAGAACCAAACCTTGCAGATAAAAGTTGGGCTGGAGTAGAAACAGGGCCACAATAGTATTACAAAAGCGACCTCAAGACCAAAAAATTGATCTAGTTATATCAGTTGGAAAATTCTCAACAAATTTCACCTGTGTCATCTTCGTTTCTTACTTCTCCACAATGAATTCTTGAATTTCAATTCCCGTATGCCGAGCCCCTCCCTGTAATCTAACTAAAATTTCATCTCCAACTTTAAGTGAAGTCACAGGAATGGCAGTTTTTTGCACTTCAATTTCTGCGGCAAATGTAAGTAAAAATTCAACAACTGTACGATGAACGGAGAATAAGGAGAACAATATAACTCAGCAAATTGAGAAACCAGTTAAAGAGAGTGAGAGCACACCTTTGCTGGGACAAACTAAGGCCACTGTTTCCGCATTCTGTACAAGGATGCTGTATAGAGTTTGATTATCTGAATCTCTCTGGAGCTGAAAAAGTACAAATATCAACGAAAAAGTATATTAATCGGCGGCAAAAGTAACTAACTAGAAAATTATATCACCATAGAGGTTATCAAAATCCTCCGTGTTGTGAAGCGCATAATGTTCATAGAGGATTTGAGCTAACTTATTAGTGTTGTTGATAGCAACTCACGTATCGCACATACAAAAATTAACACCAATAGGAATACAATTTAAGATCTTTTAATAACACAATGTGATTGTAGCTATTACAGACCTTCGCCTCCACAAGGATTAGCGGTCTAGTTTCTATCTTCACACGCCCAACAATCGCTGTTCGTTGATGGCCTTTCTGATCAACCAGAATCACCTCTTTACCTGATTTCAACTCTGAGAGGTAGCACGTTTTTCCTCCTGGAACAGCAACATAGGTATGTACAGGTCCCTGCGCATTTCACACATATATTTGGTAAAACAGACACTAATTGGGAGAATTAAAAAATTAAAACTTTAAAGGTACAGTCCTTAAAAACATTTCCAGGGCCGCTCTAAACCAAACTCACCGCATTGACACGAAAAGGCCTGCTCGCAATGTAATTTGACTCCAAGCATTCCGAATGAACGAGGAAGAGTCCCCTGGCAAAGGATCCAACCTTGAAGATAATAAGAAACTCAGGCTATAAGAATGATGAAATAACAGAGAACCAGCTCAATCGCAATAGAGGGAGCAACACAATAACCGAAAATAGAGTTATAGCATACAAGCAGTCCTTCCCCAGGTCTCATGAGACTACAGAGATCAACACAAACTCGATCCCCCATTCCAGCTACTTGTACTGAAGTTACAGTGGCTTTGGTCAAGCTCAATATGTTGCCCACTTCATCTCGTCTGTCAAAATAATCCTGATGATATTAACCAATATAAGCAAAAGAAAAACACTTTCCATATGACCAAAGAGCCCTTAGCCAGTAACTAATCACCTTTAAGTCAAGAATAGCTTTTACATCCTCAACTTTTAAAACAACTCCACCCAGACCTTGTTCGAGGGCCTACAAACACAGAATAATGAACATGTACAGCATTTAAGGATGCATAGAATTTAAGTGGTAGTTCAAAGTTCAAAACTGAAATGCTCATTCAATTGTCTTACTTTTAACACGTTTGATTTGTTGTACCTCAAAGAAGACTTGTGCTTCCAAAGGGGTTTTCGAGATGGCAAACACTGTTTTTTCACTCCCTTGAAATGCTGCAACTATATTCTCCGCGGGTATTACCTAAGCAATAAAAATCAGGAGCAGAACGTCACTCCATAACAAAAACAAACAAGATAGGTAAACCAGGAAGTTCGAGAAACAGAAAGAGAGAGTGACAAACAAAATTTTCCAAATCAGTCACCTACAGACCTGCCAATCTAGTAAATCAACAACAACATTTTCCCCCAACCCTTTATCCGGCTGAAGCTGCTCTAACTCTTGGGGATTGGAGACCTCAAGAATTGTGGCAACACTTCTGTTCTCGCCATCAAAAATCGCTCCCTCTTGGATAAAGAGAGGATGTATCAAAGCAATTGCTGCTCACATGCAACACCCAAATCATCCAAAATGAGAAAATAAAATTCTAATGTAAAATGGCACTCCGCAGAGCAAATCAAGCTTCTACAACAACGTCAAATTCATCCAAAATCTCCAATTAGGTACACCCATAATTGTAAAGTTTTTGCATTTATCAAAACCTTCATTAATCAAAGCAAAAAAATTTAGTTTTATAAAGCATGAACCAGAAAAACCCAAAAACGTATAGACTATAGAAGTTTGAAAGAGCTTACAGGACCACTCATCGGCAAGTTCACGACTTCGAGAAGAGAAGATGAAGGTGTTCCAGCCTCTCTCCACAGAAGCCGTCATGACCTGCTTGCTCTCCGTCCACACCCACACCCTCTTCGACTTGCCGTAAGTCCCCGAAGACGACGACGTAGAGGAACCAAGACCAATACTTGCAGAAGAAGACTTCTGGGCCAATTGGATTTCCTTAATACCATGACTAGCTTCCATTGAGTGTTTATGTGAACTAATCAATCTGCAAGTGTTCCATGTATCTGCAAAAATTAATCAACATACAAAGAGATAATGAAAAAGAATAATCACAGTGACCGAAGCTATTGACTTTCTGATATTTTGATTGGCAGCGATGTGCATTAACCTGCAGTAGGAGTGAAGCAGCGGATTCCGGCTACACAAGCAGAATGCAGCACAGCCATCTTTCTTCCACTTCTGTGGAGTCTTGGAGATATTATCGTCTACGCGCCAAGGACCGCAACTGTTGCTCCACAAGTCACATATACGACGTTTTGGTTTCAAGAACAAACTGTCGTTTTAATAAGGGTCGACCCAGAACGAGTCACGGGTCAGCTTATGGCTCGTCAAACAAGGGTCGACCCATAGATTGATCCAAAACAAACTGGTCTCAAGTCCAAAAATAAAATTCGAGTCCAGCCTTTCTATGGTTGGGTCATAAAATTTTAGCCCTTTTTTTTTAAGCCTTTAAAATTCATTTTAGGTCATTCAGGCATCACACCATAAAGTTCGAACTCAATAAAGAAGTGGGAATTCCAACTTAAGATCTCTTTCAATATTAGAAAGAGAAGCACCCACTAGATTGGCTTGTTTGGGAGTGCTTCTGGAAAGGCTAAAAGTGTTTTCTGACAACTAAAAGTGCTTCTGACGTTTGGTAGAAAAGTTTAGAAGCGCTTTTTAGAGAAGCACATGCTATGTGTTTCTTTGGGAAGCACTTGGATTTTTTTTATGAAAATTCAAGATTTTTATAATAAAAGAGATTTTGTGATAAGCACTCCTGAGCAAAAGTACTTTATAGAGAAACAATCCCAAACGAGCCCTAAGTGGTTTCGATATTCCAACTTAAGTTGTTTCAATACTACTCGAGGTTGGAGCACTAGATGTGAAGAAGAATTATAGATATTCTCGAAACAAATATATAGGATATAAGATTTTATCCAAAAACTAAGAAAATCATTAGGATGTATCATGACATTTATTAATTCAAAGGCCTAACCTTACAAGAAACTCAAACTACAAAAGGTAAAACGATGTCATTTCCTCAAGATTACAAATAAAGAGTTATATGCACACTCTTCTTGTTATGAAACTTATGAGGCATATGGTGCTTTAGTTGAAAACTTAAACAGCATATTATGTTTGTAGGGCTTTTTTGGAGTCACAATCGTTGACGGAAAATTAGGGTGATTGACTGCATCAGGAAATCCTTGAGTCTCCAAACACAATGCTGCATGTGGTTCATATACAAAACCACCTTTTCCCTTCACATCCTTGAGAGAGTTACTTGTGTAAAACTGCAAACCAGGAGCATTTGTTGACAGCTCCAAAACCCTTCCCGACTTCTTATCATACACCACCGCTGCCGGCTTCAACTTGTTGCCTGCTCCTCCATCAAGCACGTAGTTGATGTCGTAACCGCTGGCCAGCTTGTTGATCCTGCTGCCAACGGCTTTTGGTTTGAGGAAATCATAAGGGGTTCCTTTCACAGATGCAAACTTGCCAGTGGGAATGAGATGGCTGTCTACCAGAGTGATTTGGGATGCAAAGATCTTGATATATTGGGACAGAACATCACCGCAGTTGTGACCACCAAGGTTCCAGTAGGTGTGTTGAGCTAGATTCACTGGGGTAGGCTTGTTTAGAGCCTTGGCTTTCATTTTGACACTCAATTGCTTGTCTCCAAGGAGAGTGTAGCTTACTGTGACTAGCAGATCACCAGGAAATCCTGCACAGAATATGTCACAATGAATTGGGTTTAAAAGCAAAATCCAAAGCCATAAACAAAACATGTATCTATTGGGTTACAGAGAAGAGAAGAGTGAAATGAAAAGTTTTGTGCACCTTCTTCACCATCTGCACTATGGTAGGTGAAGACAATGTGAGGAGCATCGCCTTCATTCTGATACTTCTGCACTTTCCAAACAACATCACTAAATCCTATAAGCCCACCTGAGAGATTCATTTAACCAATTGATCAATTTGCAGGTCATGCATTTCTTCTTCTGGGTAAAGGAATGAAATTAGTTTCAAGTTGAAAATGAGAGACTAATGTGTTACCATGAAGAATGTTTTTTCCTTCATTAGCAACTAGCTTGTAATGAGTTCCATTCAATGTGAATTGAGCTCCTCCAATTCTGTTAGCAACCCTTCCAACAATAGCACCAATGTATGAAGTATCATTCTGCCAAAAATTCGAATTACAAATTAAGTTCTAATTTGACGTGTTTACAGTCAGTCATGCAGTTTTGTTTTTTTGTTTTTTTGTTTGTTTTTGTTTTTAAACATTAAGAAAATTGACTTCACATGCCATTTGGAATCTTGTCTTTTAATATACACAAAGAGGAACTAGATTTCCACGCCTTCAACTTGTTCTGCAAGATCATCCTTTTGTCTTATGTGACAGAAATATTGATTGATAAATTTTTTGCTGTGGGAAGTAGAAATGCAGGATGCTAATCAAACGCTCCCTATATGATTTACTTGAAAAGAAAAATACTCTTCCCAACACTTTCCAAATGGCCAACTTGGGCAACTAGGCTGGCCATTAGCCTATGTCCCCCAGATTGATTTCTAACCAATAGTGTAAGGATAATGCTTTCTATCAAAATTACATTTTTGTACAGATAATGCTCCAGCAGGGTTAATCACAAGTTTCCAACCTTCCATTTGACCGTTAAACCATGTACATATCATGGTGTTCTAGAATAGATAGAGACCCTAAAAGCTTCTAGGCAATAGCTAATCAAATTATCTGGGAGAATTATGTTTAAACACTACTAGTTATAGCCAATCAGATTCTTTCCAAAAATGAAAATCCAATTACAATTGTCCTCCTAAGAGAGACACAGAGCAATGTGTGGATCCCTCATAGCAAAAAGCTTGAAGCTTTAGAACACCAGAATTACCAATAATGCTTAAAACATAAGGGAAGGCAAAAGTTCGAAAGAAAAGAGAAGATTCACCGTGTACTCCTTGATTGTATCGTACCCAAGAACTACATCAGCCAGCTTTCCTGAAAACAACAAAAAGGAAAAGAACACAAAACCCAAAAACAGAAAAAAAAAGGTTAGCACAAGAAAGAAACTTTTGAGGTAAAAGTTCATAGAATTCAAGAAGAGCATATGATTCACAGGAGATTACAGATTATTATGAGAGAAGAAACAAACAAACCATTTTTGTCAGGGAAGACAAGGGAGATGATAGTTGCACCCCAGTTCGTGAATTTGACTGAAAGATCCCCCTTCTTGAGCTCATATATGCCAACCTTCTTCCCCTTTGGTTCAGAACCAGAAACATTGGCAAACCCAGAAGCAGCTAGGAGGGTGAAACAAAGCAGCACACAAATTTTGGCCATATTTTTCTTGGCAAAGAATGAGAAAATATGTGACAACAATTTAATGAGATGGGGAGAATTAAAGAGATTAATGGGTGTACATGAAAACAGTGTGAGACGCAGAGGACTTTCCAAACACAGACACAAGTCAGAGAGCAGTTTGGTGATTATGCTTAAGCTCTCAAGGTGTTTAGCCGGTTGTGTTGACTAGGTAAAGCACACAATGTGCCAAGATTCTTCATCGTCTAAATATGGGCCCCTGACTTGGACATATTGCAAATTTAATAACAGGATTTTTTGATTAATCATTTGGCTTTAAGCAATGATATGGAAGATAAACATTGAATACGATGACTTTCCATGACTCAAATCTTTTTTTAAACATATTTTTGAGTCTTAACTCTGATGTCATGTAATGAAAATTTTGACAAAAATAAGATTTTTAGATTTTTGGCTTTGCCTTTGATTTTGGGTGTACTGAGGTGTTCAAAGCTTAATTATGACCGAGGGTGGTAGGAGAAAGAAACTTTGTCTCAAAATCGTCATTGCCATGCAATATAATACACAATTAAACATCATCCTCATTCATTAAAAATTGCTATATGAGTTAGGCAAGTTAACCAGAGCAGTATTTGCTTACATCCATATAAATTAGATTAATTTAAACTACCTTTTTTCTACGTGGAGAATGAATCCTTTCATATCAATAACAAGGAAGTTGAGAAAAATAATTCAAACCACATGTGACATGTACAGAAACTGAACCAGTGGGGGACCCAAGGGAAGTTGATTCTATACGGATATGCTTTCTTCATGTCAGTCGTTTGTGTTGTTTTGGGAAAGGTAGCATCCAATTGATGTCCTGATTTATAACGCAATTTCTCCTCTCTTTTTTGGTAAATGTAAAGTTAATTAAATACACCAACAAAACATTTGGCCCTTTTGGAGAGAAGGAGAAGAAGAAGGGTTTTTGGGTGCGCAGTTGCAATTTGCAACTGGGTTGGGGTGGTGATGATGATGGCGAAGAACATAAGAAGAAAGTGTGAAGAGTGCGTGAGTTCCAGCCTGGTGACACGTTTTATCCTCAACTGCAAAAGGGAGACACAAATTGGTGCGAACATGAAGAATAGCTAATGTCGTTTCTACCCTCCTAGATAACAAAGCACAATAAGGGTAGTATTGCCTTTTCTGATTTCATATCTGCTAAGCTAATGCTTTAGCCTGTGTTTGGCTAAACTGGGTTTTTCTTTAGTTTGGTAAGCAAGTAATAACAGGCATACCAAACAAAACCTAATTTCTTAACTTCATTCCGCTTCTTTCTTTAGATCGAAGGGATGCTCAAGCTTGCTTTTCTTTCTTTTCTTTTCTTATTGTTTCACCTCGAGTTGTTCAGGCATGAGTCTTATTTAAGATCACATATTTGTTCATGTCTCCAAAACTCCACTTTCAAGGTCTTCGTCTTCATACATTGTCAAAATTGGGTGGGCTGGCTCTCGTTATAAGCTTTGGGTCTTGGGGCCTATGTTCTTGGGCCATTCGTCGTAGCTGTGCTTTACAATCCTTGTTTTTTTTTTTCCTTTAGAACATAAACAAATGATTACAAGTACCAATCAATTTACAATCTAACAATTCCTAAATCTCATAAAATCTACATTTTTCCTTATATTATCCAACTATTACGTAAGACCTTGCAAATCAAGTGGAATTTAGAGCAGGCCGGGCTGATGTAAGATCATGCCGGTCGATAATTCTCATCCCTTTTTTTTTTATGGTTCAACAGACTGGAATAGAATCGGAGACTCATTCAACCTAATTGACAATCATGCATGACGACAAGATATTATAGCTAGAGAAAGTCATTTTGACGTCCTCTCCATTTTCAAATGTCAATTTTGGGTGCCATAGAATTTGATTTTTATGTTAAAGTTTGCACAGCACATATATCCTACAAAGATGTGATGATGTCATCTCTTGTATATAATAAATTAAACATCATAATTAAGCAACAATTCTATATTTGGACAAGTTACCTGAAAGTATTCAATCAAACATGAATGTCATAAGCCCCTTCGTCTTTAAATACATGACTCATTAAGACGAGTTCCAAGTTTATATATAAAAAATGCTAGTCATATCATATTTATATATCACTTTGTGTATCACCTATCTAATAGAGGTGAATCCCATTGTATTGATGGGCTCCACTTCTAATAGAGAGGTGATATGCAAATGTGTTACGCCTATCATTGCTTTATATGTATATATATGTAGTACATGGACTTCACTCATATAAACGATATGGCAGCTCCAAGATTGATCTTTTTAGTTCTTTCTCTGTTCAACTTTTCTCTACTTACTTCCACAGCCAGTGGTGCAAATTCACATGAGAAGGCTACACAAAATTGGTTAAACCATGGTGGAGATTTGTACAACAGAAGATATGCCCATAGAGAGACCAAACTAAGCCCTAAAACAGTTTCCAAACTAAGCTTGAAGTGGGAGTTTTATGCAGGCAAAGATATATCTGCCACACCGGCGATTTTCGATGGTACCCTTTATTTTCCAAGCTGGAATGGATTCATCTATGCTGTTAAAGCTTCTGATGGGTCTCTGGTTTGGAAGAAGAACTTGCATGCATTAACTGGGTTTAATGCAACTGGTTTTGTTTTGAAAGTCAACTGGACAGTATCAAGATCAACCCCAACAGTCGTTGCCGATCATGACCTTTTGATTGTTGGAATCTATGGGCCTGCTGTTGTTATTGCCCTTCAACGATCAACAGGGAAGCTCATATGGTCAACCCTACTTGATACTCATGCCGCAAGTCTCATAACCATATCCGGAACCTACTACAAAGGGTTAGTCAGTCATTTAACTCTACCTTTAATTTTTTTTACCTTTTGAATTTGACCATATATCAAAGTTGCATACAGTGAACTTTAATTGAGAGGTTCCTATTCTCATAAGACGTCCCATCACATATTGTATTTCAATGTATCCCTTTATATTGATTAATCTAATCTTCTTGGAGAGGGATTCGAAGTTATCCGAAGTTATCTAAACCCTCTAAAAACAAGTCTGACTTTTGAGGTGCATGTTGGATAAATATTATTAGACTATATCAATTAATCTACTTTTACAGGAGTATATACATTGGAACGGCATCACTAGAAGAAACTCTTAGCGCTGACGCTGAGGAATGTTGTACCTTTCGTGGCGGCTTTGCCAAATTAGATGTCAAAGCTGGTATCATCTTATGGCAGACCTTTGTGCCGCCCGATAATCATGGAAAGCTAGGGTAATATTCCGGGGCAGCAGTCCGTCCATTGATGTCCATAGAAAACATGTATATATAGCTACTGGCAACATCTACTCAGTCCCTGAAAATGTAAGCCAATGCCAAAAAAATAGAGGAAACGTGGGACTACATTAATTTTTTTTTTTTTTAAACAACAATTTTAAAGCTTCAAAGATTAATTTTCCTAATGTTTTTGTAGATTAATTTCCTCTTGATAATTTCCATGAATTTTTCAGTAAAGGGACAATTTTAAAAGGCTAAAGACTTGAAAAAAGAATTTAGACAACTAAATACCCTTGAAATTTAAATAATATTAATGTCATTCATAATTAAAACAATTAAAAGTACATGTGATTTGGAGGTCACGAGATAAAAGATTAATTTTCCTAATGTTTTTGTAGATTAATTTC